TATACTGATAAAATATTTACAGTGGTTATACATGAAAGAAACAGTAAACATTAACTAGATCACTAAATTAAATTAGCAGAAATAGTAGGACTTACATATGCAATAAATCCATACAATCTCACCTGCTCTATTTTGAAAACCGGACCGGCCGGTTCAATCGGGAACCGTTGCTTAGTCCGGTTCAATCTAAACCGGTTGAACCGTTATTAGTGAACCGGCCAGAACCGTTGAACCGTTCGAACCGAACCGGCTGAAAACCGGAAAAGACTCAAGAAAAACCGGGATTTTTTTTAAATTAAACCAAACAACATCATTTGTTAAACGAGCCAAGTCGAACTTGAGTATTGCTGAGCTCGACTCGAACTTGAAAACTTTAAAAGTAAGCTCAACTCAACTCAAACTCACAAGCTAAAAATTATCAAGTTCAACTCAAACTCGAAATATAATATTGAAACTTGAACTCAAAAAGGCTTGAACTCAAAAAAAAATTAAAAGCTCGATTGAAGCCTAAAATTCGAGCTTGATTGAAGTGAAAGAATAGTTCACTCAATGCTCACCAAAAGTCTCCATGATTTTGAATGCCAAATTACCTCTATTATTTATAGAAGTTAGTTGTGATGCGCTTCTATGTTTCTTAGCAATGTGAGATTGTTTTGTTCTCATATTTTTACTCTTTAGACTTTTGGGATGCTCTTCTATGTTTCTTAGCCATGTGAGATTGTTTTTAAAAAAAATTAAACCAAACAATATCATTTTGTTATGATTTTTTAACCCCAAATTTATTTTTTAATTATAGTTATTTAATTATATTTATTATTTAATATGTTTTACCTTAAATATTATGTTGTAGTTAATTTGAATCATTTTGTTTCACTTGATTTTATGGTTTTTAACTTATATATGTTATGACTTGCTTTGAATATGACTTGTGATATAAAAAATTATTTTTTATTAAATATTTTTGTTATTTTTATTTAATTTTTTAAATAATTATGACGTCGCCCGGTTCTTCCTACCGATCAGACGGGTTCGACTGGTTGAACCAATAAACCGGTAGCATGACCGGTCCGGTTCTGAAAACCATGCTCACCTGGTAGACTGAAGGGACCAAAATGAACACATTTATTAATATTGGTCATATTACTCATGTAATCATTTTAATTTTGGATTAAGCTTGATTTGGCCCCTTGTCTTGAACTATTTCATTTTGGTCCCTTCAGTCTAACAGGTGAGATTGTATGGATTTATTGCATATGTAAGTCCTACTATTTCTGCTAATTTAATTTAGTGATCTAGTTAATGTTTACTGTTTCTTTCATGTATAACCACTGTAAATTTTTTATTAGTATAATTCATTCTTTCTTTATATATTCATTCATTTATATTTTGCGTGTATGTATTTATATATTTTTTTACTATGCAATATATATTTATACACCGTGGTTTTACGCATTGCTAAACAATCTTTTTTATTTATTCATTAAATTTATATATTTAGCTAATATATATTGACCTTTATATATATATATATATATATATATATATATATATATATATGATTTTATTTTATCTTGTTTAATTTTTATTTATCTACTTATTTATTTTAATTTATAAAATATTTTCTTATTCGTATTTATTTCAAGAAATTATTCGTAGAATGGGCGTGAAAATTATTACCTATTAGAGGTAATGCGATTCGAAACGACATTCGAACAAAATGTGAACTTAAAACAATCAAGTTTATTTTTATAAAATAATAATTAATTCGTTTTTTTTTTCAAATGATGTAATGCATGTTTCTTAAAATAGTAATTTATTTTATGCAATTATCGATAGTCGATTTATATTGGATTTGTGCTTTTTGAAAATGTTGGGGATGAAACATTTCTCGCATAAAGGAGAAATAAATGGGATAGTCTCCCCATTAGAGGATGTACAAATCCCGTGATTTCTTCTCAAATTAATGAATATTCCCTAATAATTAATTCGAAACAAATTAATTAAACTTTAATAAATGGATATTATTTTAACTTTATATTCGATTCATAGTTTCCACTACTTTGACAATTAGTAAGCGACTAGATACTAATTTTGGGCGTTGTGGGGGGTGTTTATCATTCCGCACACGTAACCGACACCCGGACCCGTTAAGTCAAGTTTTTGCTAAACACAAACCTTTTTTTTGTCTTAAAAATGATTTTTTCATTAAATTGTTTTAAAAGACGTTTTTAGGTATTCGACATACCTAGCCCAAAGGTCGATAGCGACTCCTATTCAATTTAATTCAAATTAATTCAAAATTACTGATTTTTCAAATAAAATCATAATTGTTTTTTTAAACATTAATTGTTTTCTAAAAAAATTGGTTATGACAATTTCATTAAGGATAAGTTGCAGACTAACACCCCCTGTTTTTGGATTCAATCACAGAAAATCCAATTCTTTGCTGCAAGCATTTCATTCGAAAAATCACCAAAACAGCCCTACAGCAGTAGAAAATCACAACTCTTTCAATAGAATAATGTTGGTTCGATAGAAATTTGAAATATCCATAAAGAAGGGTCCACCGACATAATCAATAAAAAAATAGTAAAAAGAATTACTAAAATAAAAAGTGTTTTTAGAAAAGAAAGAAGGAAAAATCATAAATGAAGGAGGAGAATGAGAAGAATGGAGATACCTTTGTTGAATGGAAAGGGAAGATGGATCGAACGATGGGGGTTGAAGGATCGGAGGATGAGAGACTTGGATGTGAATGGGAGAGAGAGAGATATTTGAGACCTAAATTGAATCGATAAATTAGGGTTCATGAATGAATCACATATGAATATGCAGATGAAGATGACGAGGAAAAATATATGATTGGAAAATTTGAGTTTAGTCCCTAGAAAAATTATGATTTAAGAAAAACGACGTTATTTTGGGTCTTTTGAATATTAAAACAGTAACATCGAAACGATATCATTTAGATGAAGTAATTATATCAGTATCGTCATGACACGTCGTTATCATGTCGTTGTCTCGTTAAACGATTAACAATATAGTAGCATAACTACACTTAAAAATAATTGTTAATGCTAAAATTAATAAAATTAAAACATTAGTGGTATAAATGAGTCAACGCTTAGGAATTAGTGGTATTTGATGTAATTTACCCTAAACGTAATGTCTTACCTAGGTCTTCAAAAATTTGTGTCTTCATCCTTTTCCCTCTACCTCTCATTGGCAGGGTTATCTTCTACTCAGTTTAGGTGGGGGCCTTCCAAGGGTTGACTTTTTTCTAATGATTTTAATTAAAATCAAATAAAATATTAATATAAAGCTCAAATCTTCTAATTCTAATACTATTTACGAGAAAAATGTTAATAGTCTCAATGAGCTTTTACTTGGAGCAACCGAAAGACACAACAGTGTTTTATAAAGGAGTAAACACTTATTTAGTCATCATTTGTTTTTGTAGCTTTGTTGGTCATTTAATTAATTTTTAAAATTATATATAATATTATATTTTTTGACTGTTTTTATCCCATAGTTAAAAAATAAATAAAATTATGATGTGATATTTTTTAGTGATATAATATTATTTTATGAGAATATGTTACTGTTAATTTTTTTGTAAAATGTATTAGAAGTACATGTACTTTTAAAAAAATTAATGTGACATTTGTTTTATTTTCCTCTCTCAATGTGATCCTCAAACTCAGAAAATAAATTCAATATGACTCATTGATTAATATTTTTTGTCGTTGATCATTAAGATGATGATGTCACAAACATGACAAACAGACTACCACATCAGCATCATGGATTACGATATCAACATCGTGAATTGTCACGTCAATACCATAACGTTAAAGATGAAAAATGTTAGTCAAATGATCACATTAAGTTTATTTTCTAAATTGAATGGTCATATTGACAGAAAAATAATACGATGATCACATTAATTTTTTCAAAAAGTACATGACCTCTATTACCCTTAAATTTTAACGGTAGATGATCGACATAAAATATTAAATATAATTCTAAAAAATAATTAAATTAAGAAACAAAATCACAAATAAATAAGAGAGTAAGTGACTAAGGGAGCGTTAGGTTCAGGGTATCTCATATTACTGGGGGAATGAAATGTCATCCCCGTTTGATTGACAAACATTCCCAGCCCCCAGTAATAAGTTATTCCCGATAGTGGTATTTTGGAGGTATATTACTGGGAATGTGATTACCCCTTCCCTTAGTTATGGTTACATTCCCGACATTTTAGACTAAAATATCTTTAATTTTTTTTTCAAAAATATCATTCTTCTGCTAAGAAGGTTAAATTATTTTATATTTACAAAACAAAGTCCATAATTAAAATTTTATATGAAATTCAATGGTTAAAATAAAATTTTACCCTTTCATTAAACCTATTTATCTTTTCAATTTTACAAAAAAAAAATTATATAAATTTTATGAATTTAAAATTTTAAAAGAAAATATATAAATTAATTATAATAGAATTCAACTTGTAAAAAACAAATATATAATAAGAACAATTTGATAAAATATACATTCAAATAATCTTTTATTCCTTTAACAAAACATTGTAATATTACATTCTTGCTAAATGAATCAAACATAAAATACAATATTTTTAGTAATTTTATTTTCATCGATAATCATATTCCTATCGATAATCTTACCTTTCATGAACCAAATGCATATAAATTTAGCACAATCGCAAGTCACAAACCAGGGCAACGGGAAAGGGATACCCTACTAAAGTACCCCTTCCCTCTTGCAGTCTGTGTGTTTGAAGAATCGTACCAGTTTTTAATGTTCACCTCTCAATCTTTACTGCCTTCACCAACCGTTTCTACAATCTAGTGATCTGTTCTACACCTCCTATTTAATTAAAGTACAGATAGTTAGTATTCATGGAGTCAGACAAAATGATTTTTTTAACATATTTACAGACTAATTGAAAATTAGGAGCAATAATCGACGCAAGGAGTGTATTAAAAATATACTTTGATGACATGCTAAATATGACTAATTTTTACACTACAATTCTTAAACTCACGAACCCCACTTCTTTATCTGACAATACGTCTCCCGGCGAGGTTACGTCCTCGGTTTCCGGTGAAAATATCAAAAGCCCGGAATCAAGATCACGATCTGGAGAAGGCGACGGAGTGAAGTAAGGCGGCGATGCGCATGGCGTCGAAAACGGAGTCTCCGAGTCAACTGCAACCACCACGTCACCCAACAATTCGGCCCCACCCGATAAACAGTACCTCAGACAAGCCCGCTTCTCGTTTCTCGCTTCACTCTGATCAGCGGAATTCTCGACGCTGTCGTTTCCTTCTCGTTCCTCTTCTTTTATCGTATACAAGATCCTCGACTGCCCGTACAACGCCGCCAGTTCGTTGTCATCGTCCTCTGTCGCGTCTCCCACCGATTCCGGCGCCGTAGCTGCCTCCGTCGGCGTCTGGGAAACCACCCCAGAGGAGGGCTCCACCCGAGCATGCTGGTTTTTCCAGCAGAAGAAATAGAGAAGATCCTTAGAGGGAGTAGCGTAGAAAGGTGAACCCGGAAACTCGGAGTCAATGGAACGCGCGCCTCCGCTGATGACGCTGCGCTGACAGAAGCTTCGTTTACGCCAAAGAACGTAAACAAGTTCTAGGAAAAGTGCTAAAAGAATTGTTGCGAAGATGACGATGAGAACTATTGCAAGCTTAGTTGGAGCAATCATGGGCGATTTACTGTTTCAGCTGATGTTTACATAACAAAGGAGTCAACTGAGGAATTGTGGGGGAAGGAGAAAAGAAAGGATTTTGTTTGTGGTTTTAGGGATGAGAAAATGATGAGGTTTTTTCTCGGAAAATGTCTGGGGGCAGAATCATGGAAAACAGAAACGGTAAGAGATTGTGATGTGTGGAAGTAGAAAAGCTAGTGAGGGGGACTCTTCATCTTTTTTGTTTTTTTTTTTTTGGACTAAAAGGATTTTTGAATTAGTTAGGCCGACGGATTCCAAGTAACTTTCTAGTTAATCTCCAAACTCTCATCTATTAGTATGTATACTTGTATTTTTATTTTTTTTCTAATTTTTTAAAGGTATGTAACATCCGTTGCGAAAATTAATACATATTAACAATAAATCAAATCAGAAAGTGTACAAATGATCTTTGATTATAATATGATATTTTATTGAGTCTTTTAACTATCAAAAAGTATAAAATAGTCTCTCTATTATAGAGAGTTATTTTATTGACTCTATAAAATATTAAAAATTATAAAATGGTCATTCGATTATTCATTATGTTCCAAATTAGTATTTTTTCATTAAAAGATTAACGATCATCCGAGTTGGACGTTAATATGTTGATTGACATATGATAGTCATTTAATATTATGAGATCAGATTTTATCATATCTCAATTAGCATGTTAACATACAAATCAGATTGTCGTCGAAAGTTTTTACGGAAAATGACGAGTTTAAAACATAATGAATAGTTAGGTGATCATTTTGTAACTTTTAACAGTTAAGAGACTTAACAAAATAACTCCCTTAGAGGATTATTTTGTAACTTTTAAAAGTCGGGGACTTAATAAAGCAATACCCTATAATCATGAGACAATTTATTACTTTAACCTAAATCAAATCATATTTACTATGGTAAAATATTAATATTTCGATTATAAGATGTGTTGAATTAAGATTTTGATATAATAATAAATTGCAAAATTGATTTTGAACTCAATCGAATTTATCAAAAATTTATCAAAAATAATTCAAAGTCCAAATTAACTTGGAAAATATTTTTTAAATGTTTTCCAACTTAGTCGATCCTTTCAAAAATATACTCAATCGTTTTCGCGCTTTAAAGTCGAGTTTTCAAACATTTTTTGCTCAAATAATCGATCCTTTAGAAAGGGATCAATCTCTTTAACCAAAAGATCGACCCCCTTGTTAAAGGATCAATCCATTGGGTTCCAATATGTTTGGGATCGATCCCTCAAGGAAAAGGATCAATTCCTTCACTAAAAGGATCAATCCCTCGATGAAAAGGATCGATCCCTTCCCTTAAAGAATCATCACTTTCTTGCAATAATCAAATTATTTGAAAAAATGATCGACCACTTTCACCAAAGGATTGATCCCTTTTACATTAAATGTTTTTTTTGTTGGTAATGGCTATAATGATCCCCAACGGATCTAAATGGCTAAAATTAATTGAGAATGTATAAATTGAAAGTCAAAGATTCTCAAGGCCAACAAGGATCATATTGAACCAACCTACCAACATCAAAGTTTTGTTTTATGCTTAATTTATCAAATTCTTTGTTGTAAACACACTTGTGAGCTACATTGTTTATTTTCCTCAATTGTGTATTGGGTTAGAGCTTAATTTGTGCAAACATATTTGCCTTATGAGGTTTTCTTTGTTTGCTCTATTTGTAATTCCTCTTGTGGAAATAGTGTAAGCAAGGTTTTGGGGTATAAACCTTGTGTGTTTGTAAGGTTACACCTTGTCGTCAAAGGTTAGTAATTCTAGTGGATTTGATAAATCCTTAGTGTGGATGCAAAGATAGTGGATGTAGACTTTGGTTTAGAAAGTTAAATCACTATAAATCATCGCGTAAAAAGTTTTATTTTTCATTTACTTTCACAATTTTCTTAAAATGACAATTCACCCCCTCTCTTAGCTTATTTTGGTTGTTCATAAAATCTAATAATAGGTACCAAAGCAGGTCACCCCTCTCTTAGCTTATGTTGAGTTAATCGATTGACGAAATTGGCCAAGAGGGGGGTGAATTGGCAATTAAAAATTTGGTGGAAGCTTTTGCAGAAAAATGAAAGTAATTGCATAGGGATTTAGAGTGGTTCGACTTTCTCAACCAAAGTCTACGTCCACTACCTTAGCTATCCACACTAAGGATTTTCCACAAATTCACTAATTTGTCTTTCTTTTGAGGACAAAGAGTAACCTTACAAACCCTCAAGAATTATACCCCAAATTCTTGAGAACACTCTCTGTTGAGTTAATCGATCGACGGAATTGGCCAAGAGGGGGGTGAATTGGCAATAAAAATTTTGGTGGAAGCTTTTGCAGAAAATTGAAAAGATTTGCACAACGATTTAGAGTGGTTCGACTTTCTCAATCAAAGTCTACGTCCACTACCTTAGCTATCCACACTAAGGATTTTCCAACAAATTCACTAATTTGTTCTTTTTTTTGAGGCCAAAGAGATAACCTTACAACACCCTCAAGAATATACCCCAATTCTTGAGAACACTCTTTCTCAAAGAGAAGATTACAAATTTGCAAACTTACAAGGAAATCCTCACAAGGTAGATTGTTTACACAATTCTAGAACAAAGAAAGAGAACACTCAACAATGAATACTGTTGAAACATTTTGATATTTCGATATAACAAATTAAGTTAAATGGATTTTAAGATTTTCCAAATGATATTCTAAGTATATTCGATATAACTATTCGAATATCAAAACATTACTCCAAATATTTCAAAAATCATTTTTAATCCTTACTTAAGTGTAAAATTAAGTTTTAATCATAAAACAATTTCAAAATAATCTTACAAAGTATTTCGAACCAATTCAAAAGCCAAAAATTACAGATTGCTCAGAGGGAACCGATTCCCCCCATAGGAGGAACCGATTCCCCCTAAATTGTTTTGGCCCCGAGATTTCCAGAATGCTCGGAGGGAACCGATTCCCCCCATAGGAGGAACCGATTCCCCCCTAAACAGTTTTGCTCCGAGAATTCCAGTATGCTCGGAGGGAACCGATCCCCCCCAAGGGGGTACTGATTCCCCCTTGTACAACGGTCGAAATATTTGAATTTTACACTTAGGAACCGATTCCCTTCAAGGGGGAACCGATTCCCCCCACGCTCCAAGCTATTTTATTAAATGTTTTCACACTAAAACGGCTATAATATCTTCTCTAATCATCCCCAACGTTCAGAAGTGATCCAAGGTGTATTTAAGCAAGCTTAGAAGCCATTGATCAATAACAAGAAACATCAAGCAACTAGAATCAAGAGAGAATCAAAGAGAAAGCATCAAACCTCAAGTTTGAGCATTTCAAGCCTATTTTCATTCAATATTCATTTTGCTTTCAAGAACACTTTTTGTGCTCAATTGTATTCATCTTTGAGTGTTCTTTTCTTTGTTCTAGAATTGTGCAAACATCTTACCTTGTGAGGTTTTCTTGTAAGTTTGCAAATTTGTAATCTTCTCTTTGGGAAAAAGAGTGTTCTCAAGAGTTGGGGTATACTCTTGAGGGAATTGTAAGGTTATCTCTTTGGCCTCAAAAGAAAGAACAAATTAGTGAATTTGTTGGAAAATCCTTAGTGTGGATAGCTAAGGTAGTGGACGTAGACTTTATTTGAGAAAGTCGAACCACTTTAAATCGCTGTGCAATTACTTTCAATTTTCTGCAAAAGCTTCCACAAAAAAATTTAATTGCCAATTCACCCCCCTCTTGGCCGATTTCGTCAATCGATTAACTCAACAATTGGTATCAGATCCTAACTCATTTGAAGGTTTTATCGCCTCTTGAGTCGATTCGGGAAGAGTTATATCGATTATTAAAGTCATCAATGGCCTCCGCTTCAAACTTCGACTCCGGTCTCGATTCGATGCCCGTCAACAAGCCTCCTTTCTTCAATGGAGCTAACTATGCCTATTGGAAGAATAGAATGATGTACTTCATTCAAGCAAGTGAAATGGGAGCATGGAATGCTGTAGAAGAATGATACATCAAACCTCTCACTCATCCAAGGTTGTGGAGTGAAGGAGAGACAAGAATGTTCCAGCTCAACTCCAAAGCCATCCATATTATTTTTTGTGCTCTTGGACCAGATGAATACGGAAGAGTTTCATCGTGTACAACCGCCAAAGAAATATGGGACAAACTTCAAGTCACACATGAAGGTACAGATGAGGTAAAGAAATCAAAAATTAGTATTCTAACGCATAGCTATGAAAATTTCAGGATGAAACCAAATGAAGACATCAAAGCTATGACGGATAGATTTTCAACGATTGTCAATGGTCTCAAATCATATGGAGAGATCATCTCAAATGAAAAGCTTGTGAGGAAGTTAGTCTACTCCCTCCCAAAATCATGGCAATCAAAAAAGACGGCAATCATCGAGTCTAAGGACCTATCGTCCTTAACTCTTGAAGAACTTATCGGTTCACTCCTCACTCATGAGATGATGCTCGAAGATGAGGTGGACCTTGATAAAGTTGAAGAGACACCAAAGGAAAAGGAGAAGAAGAAAAATATTGGAGTTGCTCTCAAATCCACAAAAGATGAGAGTGATTCTAATAATGATGATGATGACGAGGAAATGGCATTGTTTGCCAAACGGTTCAGAAAAATGATGAGACCTTACCAAGGAAGAAAATTCAAATGAAACGAAGGCCTCAAAAATGAACCAAAAGAGAAGGACCCAATCATTTTCTATGAATGCAAAAAGTCGGGGCATGTCAAATATGATTGCCCACAATTGAAGAAAAAGGGTCAATCAAAGAATAAGCACAAGGCTCATGTGGCTACATGGAGCGATGAAGAAATTTCCGATGAAGAGGAACAAGAAGTAGCAAACTTGTGCTTGATGGCATTCGGGGAAGATTCTAAGGTAACCTCTAACTCATCCGATTTTGATGATTTATCTTATGATGAGTTATTTGAGGAGTAAAATGGGTTGGCTTCGAATTATGAGAAATTGTTTTTAAAATATAAAAATGATGTTTCAAAATTGAAAAATGAAAACAAACTCATATCCAAAACCAACAACGATCTTGAATGTAAAATCAAAGATTTGCAAATCAAACTAGAAGAGTTTGAAAAGAAAAATTTAGATTTGCAAAATTTACTTTCAAAGATCAATGATGATCATCAAAAGAAAATTGATGATCTTAAAACTTCTTTT